CTCTATGTATTTTTTGCATTGTTCATAATATTTCCCAGTAACGGTAAAAGAACGGTACGTCTTGGTTTTAGTTTTATTTATTTTGATCAATAATGTAGTTTCGAAGACTTCAACAATTTTGAATTGTATGTTGTATAACTCTTGCCGTCGGCAAGCACCCATTATACCAAAAATTAGTGCAATCTATAGCAACATATATACGGTAATATTACGGTAAATTAACTCAATATTAACAAAAAAAATGTACATGGTTAACTGATAAACAACTAAAATACCTTTGTGAAGAGATATAATGTGTCAGGGGCTTCATTTAAGAACTTATTTATCTGCTCTGCTGTAAAAGTCTTGGATTTTTTCCCTTTATATCCTTGTGAGTTTCGTTTCAAAAATGCAATCGCTATTTTAAATTGCTATATTTAGTTATGTCAACTTCGTTGTAAATATTGAGTGTATTTTATTTTTTTAATTAATTGCACATGTACAGTATATACAGGATCTTAAAATTATTTTGGCATGGTAGATGACCCAGTCAGGGTGTTGCAAGTACAATAACTATATCACCACAACTGCTAAACAGTTTCAATTTCAAACAAGTTAGTGAGCTTTCCGTGACAGTTCCACTTATCATTCATAAATTCGGAGAGCCGGAGAAAGCCGATTTACTGGCAAAACTCTTTGCGGCTAACTCCCGAATCGATGATTGCAATGCACTGCCACCATTATTACCTCATTGCGGCACAACGATGCCTGATATCAAAATCAGGCAGCGTGAGGTTCGTGCCGAATTGCAATCACTCGACGTCCAGAAAGCTAGTGGACCTGATGGCATCCCAGCAGTAGTATTGAAAAAATGTGCAGCGGAGTTGTCTCCCGTGCTCACGCGTTTGTACCAGTGCTCGTATTCTTTGGGGCGTGTGCCGGAGACTTGGAGAGATGCTAACGTGAACCGGTACCCAAAAAAGGGGATCGCTCAGACCCGGCAAACTACCGGCCAATAGCAGTCACCTCAGTATTATGTAAAGTCCTAGAAAAGGTCCTTAACAACCATCTGACCCGCTACCTAGAGGATCACTCCCTGATTAATGATCGTCAATATGGTTTTAGACCGAAACGATCGACGGGTGATCTTCTAGCGTACTTGACTCATATCTGGGGTGAGGCTATCGACAAGCGGGGCGAGTCGTTGGCTATCAGCCTAGACATTGCCAAGGCATTCGACAGGGTCTGGCACAAAAACCTTCTCTCCAAGCTTCCGGCATACGGTCTGCCGGCCCAGTTCTGTTCTTGGGTAGCTGACTTCCTGCATGAGCGTAGAATTCGTGTCCTTACGGATGGTAGCAGTTCGCGGTTCATGTCAGTGAATGCCGGCGTTCCCCAGGGCTCCGTCCTATCCCCCACTCTCTTTCTGCTGCATATCAATGACCTAATTCCTCTTGGGAATATTCATTGCTATGCAGACGACAGTACAGTGCATGCGGGGTATCTCGGACAAGCAGCGGCTGGGCAGGCGGTAACCAAGGAGAAACGGGAGAATCTTGTCATTGAACTCAATCAGGCTTTGGACCACATTTCTGAACCAAGAACTTGGTTGAGTTCAATGCTAAGAAAACCCAGGTCTGCGCTTTCACGGCAAAAACGTCGCCATTCCTTTTATGTCCTTCTCTTCAGGGCACAACACTGGAGCTAGAGAGCAGTATCACCATGCTCGGTATGGAGATTCGCTGTGACTTAAATACAAAAAATTACATCGAAAGTGTGATAAAAACAGCCTCACGCAAACTCGGAGTCCTGAACAAGGTGCGGCGTTTTTTCACGCCCGAGCAACTATGCTTGTTATATAAGACGCAGGTTCGGTCTTGCGTGGAATATTGCTCGCACCTCTGGGATGGCTCCGCCAAGTACTTGCTCGATGCTTTGGATAGGTTACAACGGCGCGCAATACGCATCATAGGTGATGAGGAGGTGTCTAAACACCTCGAGCCTCTTCAATTACGCCGTGACGTGGCGTCACTAAGCGCGTTCTATCGTCTGTACCACGGCGAGTGTTCTGAGGAGTTATTCTCTCTTATTCCACCTTCCCCTTTCCTTCAGAGGACCACGCGCGCTGGCTTACGTTGCACCGTCTAACTGTGGCTACAATTCCAACGCGTACAAATAAATTTGGTGACTCATTTCTTTGTCGTACTATCCGTAAATGGAATGCTCTGCCCGCTCACGTGTTCCCTCCCTCTTACAACCTGGGATTCTTTAAAAGAGGCGTGAAGAAGCAACATGCAGGCCGGCAGGGTGAGGATGGCTGGTGTGGCAGGTAGAACTGCTGTATCAGCTATCTTCGCGTCTGGACTTCACCTCCACTTAACATCAGGTGGGGTGGAGTCATTTGTCGGACCTATCTATAAAAAAAAAAAAAAAATTCATTTACCGAATAGTATGCTTTCTTGATTAGATGTTGTTTGAGTTTCATTTTAAATGTATTTATGTTGCTTTCTCTTTTAATTTCTATCGGAATTTTATTATATACTAGCTGACCCAGCGAACTTCGTACCGCCCTAAAAAAATAGGGGTTGTCCAGCGGACAAAATTGTAAATCTAAACCATTCTCAGATCCCCTTGAACACACACGAAAAATTTCATCAAAATCGGTCCAGTCGTTTAAGAGAAGTTCAGTGACATACACACTCACAGAAGAATTATATATATAAAGATTTGAATTGAACGGTATAGAGGACTTTTTTTGAACATTTCTAGTTTTGGCACTGGTAATACTAAATCAAATTTATATCGCGGATTTTTATTGAATGTTATTAATTTATTTATAAATTTATAAATTAATAACATTCAATTATGTTGGTTGTTTGCGAACAAACAATGCTATTTCCATTATATACAGTGAAGGAAGGGTTAACAACTTCTCTTTAATGAAATGTGGTTTACAACTTACTTGCTGTCTGATATTGACGATAATACGGAGACACTTTTTTTGAAGGATAAAAAGGTCGTGAACGTCCGTACTATGCCCCCATAATATTATTCCATAGCGCAACCATGCGTATGTATATGCGTAGTAAGCAGACAAGGCGCATTTTGCATTCGTATTGGCCTTAAGAACGCTAAGCGCGAAAATAAATTGTGAAACCTTTTTCTTTATTTTATCTATATGAGGTTTCCAGTTCAGATGTGAGTCGATGGTTATGCCTAACAATTGAACATCGGTTACTTCTCCAATATTTTGGGAAATCCTAACCTTGTTTAAATCAACTGGTTGCTTTTGTTATGGATGAAATTGAATGAGTTTAGTTTTATTTTTGTTTACTTCTAAATTATGCAAGTTGAGCCATTTTTGTAATGTTGCCAGTGTGGAATCTATAATTGGATTACAGTTAAGGTTTTTGGGACATTTGAAAAGGACTGAGACATCATTAGCAAAAAGAATACATTCTGTGTTCGTTGTTTTTGCTAAGTCGTTAATATATATCAGGAACAAAACACAACCCAAAACACTACCCTGGGAGATTGAGTGATTCAAGGTTACTGTTTCTGATTTAATAAATTTAGTTTCCCCGGTTTCATTATCTACATTTTCAATTTGAACGAATTTTGTCTATTATGCAAATACGAACGAAATCAATTATGGGCATCTCCACGTATACCAACTCCATGCAGCTTTGACAGCAACACTTCGTGATCAACTCTGTCATAGGCTTTGGACATATCCAAGAGCAACCCCACCGCGTGACATTTCTCCCTAATATGGTTTAAGATCTTCTGTGTGTAATTGTATGTAGCGAGGATGGTGGAATGATTTTCGCGAAAACCATATTGATGTTTATCCAATATTTTGTATTTTTCTAAGAAAGAGTAAAGAGTAAGAGTAAATCGTATAATAATCGTATCGTGTACTTTTAATCATGGAGTATTTAACCCACATACTTGACACTTTATATTTTTCAGATAACTCTAGAAAGTACGCTAACAACACATTTTCAGAAAATGATGCATTATTATCAGAGTAGATAAAATCATTTTATGACACTCGACTTAGTTAATGGTAAATTTATACATAACTTTGAGAACAAGTTTTTTAGAACGTTTGTTAAATTAAATATTTTATAATTAATGATTCCTAGCTTAAGGCTAGGAAAATTTCGACGCGGTCATCAGGGCCGTGGTAGCATAATTGGTCAGGGCGTTCGCCCGGATTGCGAAGTGTGCGGGTTCAAGTCCCGTCCGCTGCCTGGTCCGCGTGGATTTTTTTCTAGTAAAACTTTTCTTTAGATTTAAACATCTAGCAGTTAAATGCTTAAAAATAAATAAAAGACATATTTTATAATTGGTAAATTATGTTGTCTTACATATTCAATTTTATATTTTTTTATATAATCCAGTGTAATAGCCCGCGCATCGACCCCCAAGTTTTATATGAAGTAGTTCAATAGTACCGACGGATATAATCTTCCTAAACCAATAGGTAAAAATAAAATGAGAATTTATGACACTGTGCTATAATTACCGTCATTATTTAGTCACAATTTTGTTTTTATAACTTCCACGTAGGTACTTTTAATGGTCGCGGGCATAACACGTAATTTCAATATTACAAAAAACCATAAAAAAAACTACCCACCCTAATAAATAGGCTAGGTATGTAATGTTTTTTAAAAAAACAACATCAAACTTTAGTTATTAATAGTCTTTCTATTTTTAATTTTAAAATAATTTTTTGCTCTACCCATGTTAGATAAATTAATATTGATTAACCTGTGACGTCTTTGCGTGTGTGTGTGTGTGTGTGTGTGTGTGTGTGTCTGGTGTGCTTTTAGAAAGTGAACAGCTCAATGAGATCGAATATTCGGTTATTTATTTACAAAACTTTATACCTCCATAATCTGTTTCTACCGAGCAGTATTTTTCTCGTGTCTCACTCACTACGGGACATAGGCGAAATTTCTGTGGGAAATGGAGAAAGCCACAAACACAAAAAAACATCCTTACTATTTCAGGAGCTTCGGGGCTCTAGCACATCTGTTGAAGGCGTCGCTGGGGTCCGGGGTGCTGGCCATGCCGCTCGCCTTCAAGAACGCTGGTCTGGTTGTCGGCTGCTTCGGCACTGTCATCATAGGCTTCATATGCGCACATGTTATACATGTTCTGGTAAGACCAATATCTTCTTATTATTTTAAATGTCACAGCAGACATATCACCTCTTAAAGTGATTGTGAAAATAGTGCCTGAAATGCAAGATACCACTGCTACAATAATACCTAACACGTCATTTTGACTAAAAAGCAGACTGCCTGGAATGAAAGATTCCACTACTCCAATAACACCTGAAACGCTAATTCACTAAGAAGCAGATTGCCAACAATGTATCGTGACTGTAATGTTTGCTGTCAACCGTCAATTTGAAATTTTTAAGTATTATTAAATAAAAAATCTGTATTCGTAAATTAAAAACAAATCTTCTATTCCTTAAAAAAAAAAATACCCTTCAACACTCCTTAAAAAGCTATTTTCATTTTTTTAAACTAAGAACTGAGCATAAGCACAAAATAGACTATACTCATACTGTTCAAGTGCTAGTGATATGCTAATCAAATTACAACAACCCATTTACAGCAAGAGTTTCCAAACAAACTTGCGCGTTAGGCATGGAATACAGAACGTCTCGAGATAATAAAGTAAAGTAAAGTATAAACAAACCCTTTCCTAGTTGATATGTCTGCTACAACCATAACACTTAAATAGAACACATATATTATAAACATCAAATGCCAAATTCACCACACTTTTAATTTTCTCCATTTAATCTCTATTAATGAGCCCTTTTACAAAATTGCGCTGCTGCCGTACTGATCGGCGCGTAGGTAGATTTGCACTAGTATATATAGCATTTTACGGGTGATGTTGCGAGTCTTATAAAATAATTATTAATGAACTAATTATAGAAATAAATACATATTTCAGTAGTTCAATGATGTTAGATTAGTTTTATGAAAGTTTTTGATAGTAATTCTATTTAATTCAAAATCAAAATACGAGGTAAACCTGCATTATTTTTTTGGTAAACTCACGGAGATTAGATGTTCGTTTTGATAATAATTGAAATGGAAATTCAAAATTCTAATACATAATTTTACAACATAAACATATTTCTGATGTCGTAGTAATTAATTTGATCTAATTTGTTGAACATTATTGAAAGATTGAGGCGTTTGAAGTTGTGCATATTATCGTTTTTTTCGTAAACTAGCTGCGGTAGAGCAATCAGTACAAAAAAAGGAAAATAGTATTCGCAAATATTCTACATTAACTTAAAATAAGAAAAATAAATCTACTGTTTACTTCTATTGAAAATAGTCAAAATCTTATCTAAAGGGGTAAACAAGGCACTCAAAAATTATGATTTTTTTGCAAAAAATGTGAAAGGGTTCTTAATACGATCGCAGACGAATAAATGTTGGTCCTTGGGTTGAAAAATCAGCTCTAACACGAATATTGGTCCCTATATTTTTATAGAAATCGGATAACTTGACTCATAAAAACGAGAAACAACAACTATTGTATTCCTTTGAACACGAAGGTCATCGAGTTATCTATACAAATGTATACTTTTATACTAATATTTTAAAAAGGAAAGATTAAATTGTTTGTTTGTATTAAATAAGCTCCGAAATGACTAGATCGATTCGATAAATTCTTTCACATTTAGATTTCTACATTATCCCCGATGAACATAGGCTATAGAATATTTTCAAAAAAGTTAGGGTTCCATTTGAAAACTTCGATAATCTATAAAAAATATCTATCAGTTAAATACATTTTCACGCAAATAATATGAAGAAAGTTGTTGTGTATAATACAAGCTTGAGAACAAAAACTACAGTCTACACTACAGCTCTACACCGAAGCGAAGCGAGGGCGGGCCATTGTAAATATTCATGAACCATATTTCTATTCAAGAGCTATAATAAGGTTTAAGTGTTACACTACCCCACAGCCTCTGTAGAGGCTAAAGCGTCGAGTATTATCTTATGGCACGATCACACTTGGTCGTTAGCTCAAATACGAGTGCCAATGGAATACGGGTAAACGACAAATGTAAATGAACGGAGACGAGTACGCCCGTATTCGGCTAGATTTCCTTTTGTTTACCCGACACCGTCTTTCAGCCCGTATTCCAGTGTAAATATTGCTTCGGGTGCCAGAAATCAAGTAATGTCTTCGGGTGCACGACCCAAATACGTGCTAGCGACCAAATGTAATTGCGGCATAATGTTTATCCCACACCTGCGCGACTTAGCATTGGTAATAAATGCGATAAAATTAGCGTTCATACTTTGAATTAAGTACGGTCCTTTAATTGTACATACAAATTTATCGATCCCACAAACTTTTTTGCGTGTAAAATTTTCACCAGTCAAGCTATCGTATAGCGTCTATACACGCAGCCCGATAATAATCGGATTAATTCATTGTGCATTTAGTACGAAAGCTGTTGGCGTTGAAGCATTAAACAATGTATTATTGATTGAAATGAAATGAAATGAAAAGTCATTTATTCAGTCTAGGCTGTTACAAGCACTTGTGAAAGTCAAGAAGCTACGCCATCGGTTCGCAAAACTACGGCGGGAGACCTTGTACTGAGAAGAACCGGCAAGAAACTCAGCAAGGGCTGCTTTTTTCTCCCTGTATTGATATATACAGAGTCGTCAAGTTGAAAAATGACTTCAGACATACTTCTGAAGTCACCTTCCATTACATTATTTAGGGTATAGATATATAGTTACAACAAATTTTATATTTAGTATATATAGGAAGCGGCATTAGATAGGTACCATACTACTGTTACAAAACTGACTCATACCCATCAAATAAGAAATTACAAGAAACACTATGTCCATGCATTACGATCACTTAGATAATCATTAACTTTATAATAGCCCTTATTCATAAGAGTATTCTTAATCTGAGATTTAAATTTGGTTAGTGGAAGCTCAATCAGATCTTGGGGAACTTTGTTAAACAATGCAATACTACATCCCAGAAATGAACCTCTAGATTTTTGGAGTCTGAAACATGGAACGGCAAGCTTGTTCTTAAATCTCGTGTTTAAGTTATGGATTAGTAGCGACATGTTTTTTTTTTGCGACCATTATTCTCATCAGCTTAAAGATGACCTGAATGTCACGCTTGGGTGGTAGGAAAATATATTGGACGACTCAAAAGAGCGTTGAATAAGTCAATTTGATTAAAGTATAATTTCATATCATATGTATACGCTAAAGTAAATTTAAAAGAAACGAAATATGGTATTGCTAGCTATTTACAAACTGTAGCATCAGATTTAACTTCTAGAATGCAGTACAAGAGCTTGTAAAAAATAGTTCGTATTTTCTACTGTGACAATTACTTGTAAACACGTACAAATAAATGGCAAAATTGTTTTTGTATGTTTGGAACTTGATCACGCAATAACTAGAACGGATTTGGATGAAATTTAATGCAGATATAGTTTATGACCTGGATTGAAAAGTGTCAGGTTCCTGAGAGATATTCCTGTACCTAAACATAACTAAGTATAATATATATATATATATATATTGTATATTATATTGTGTGACGCTCGTGACACCATTCTCGTCGGGAAGAGCTGCTGCGCACGCATCCCACACGCAAGCACATATATACACAGTCAGGTCATAAGTATTGTCACACAGTAAAAACTTTTCTATTAGAATGCTGGCCACAAAAAAGTTTATTGAATTCGAATTTCGAATTGTTCATGAAAATAAAAATGTATACTTTTTAGAATTTTACACATTTTTAAATATGTAGTGGACGCTTAAAGAAGACCGTGTTGCAGTTATTGCGTTGCATCGTTGCGGTTACGCGCCAATTAAATTTTTTGACATACTGAAAAATTTGAATATAACCAAAAGATTCGTTTATCGTACCATCAAACGATACAATGAAGACTCTAGTGTAGATGACAGGTCAAGAAGTGGTCGCCCTCGGTCTGTTAGGACTGCAGCAGTGATAAAAGCTGCGAAGGCGCGAATTCAAGGAAATCCCAAACGTAAGCAGAAACTGTTGGCCCTTCAGATGGGGTTAAGCAGAACCACGGTGAAAAGGGTGTTAAATGAAGACTTAGGGTTGCGGGCATATCGAAGAAAAACAATACATCGTTTAAATGCTCGTCTAATGGACCTGAGACTGAGGAGATACCGCGCTTTGTTGAAGCGGTACGCGGGAATAAAATATCGGGAAATTCTTTTTTCGGATGAAAAGTTTTTACCGTAGAAGAGAGCTACAACAAACAAAATGATAAGGTGTACGCACACAGAAGTGAAGAAGCGAGCAACCGTATTCCGTGTGTCCAACGAGGTCATTTTCCATCCTCGCTCATGGTATGGTTAGGAGTTTCTTATTGGGGCTTAACAGAGGTACATTTTTGTGAGAAAAGTGTAAAAACGAATGCAGTTGTGTATCAAAATACAGTCCTGAAGAACCTTGTGGAACCTGTTTTTCATAACATGTTCAATAACAGGCACTGGGTATTCCAACAAGATTCGGCGCCAGCTCATAGAGCGAAGAGCACACAAGACTGGCTGGCGGCGCGTGAAATCGACTTCATCCGGCACGAAGACTGGCCCTCCTCCAGTCCAGATTTGAGTCCGTTAAATTACAAGATATGGCAACACTTGGAGGAAAAGGCGTACTCATAGGCTTATCCCAATTTGGAGTCACTCAAGACATCCTTGATTAAGGCAGCCACCGATATTGACATGGACCTCGTTCGTGCTGCGATAGACAACTGGCCGCGCAGATTGAAGGCCTATATTCAAAATCAAGGAGATCATTTTGAATAAACTTTATTGTAATAAGAATCTATGTTTTGTTAAGTTCATTTTGGTATATAAATGGTTACATAATGAATAAACTTGTTTCAATTATTTTATATTTAACATGTGACAGAATTTATGACCTGACTAGGTATATACATGTTCCATAGGATTATTCCATTAACAACCCCGTCCAAAAAGAAGTTTTACTTCAAAAACTAAAGCGGGCGAAATCGCGGGCGGCCGCTAGTTAATTGTAAATGATAATTACAAGTTGATGGCGGTTCATTTCCCCTTCTTATACGAAAGTTGTATTACGTACGAGACAGAATGCCTTCATAATATTTCGTATATGCGGCTGCGGTTGGCGCGTGGTTAAATCGCTTTATTGTTCACTTATGTTGGGAATTTGATCAATATCATAATAACTTAACCGCAGTTGAGTATTAACATTAATTAAAGTTTTTATACTAAACTGGGAGCCTTACTGTCTCAGCCCGGTATGGGAGCATCATCATTACAATTACATACATACACTATTTCCTGCATCATTGTATAATAAAATGTAGACTCAGGGTCCAAAGTTGTAGTTGCACCCTTAGCTATACGGGCGAATGCAATGACCATTATGCTGCAAAGGGTGCGGGATCGAGTCCCGTCTGCTTCCTGGTCCGCGTGAATATTTTTAAGGAAGATATTTTTATTTGTAAAAAAATCTCTAGTTCAATGTTATTTTTAAGGTAAGCAACGGTGTTTTAAGGTAGTAATAATGCCCCCCCCCCCCCTCCCTCCAAGCTACGGCTCTGTAATAATACGAATTTTTGACAGTTTTTTGAAACTATGTATTACGTTAATTTAGGGCCTATTTATGTAGCTTTGGTGTGCAAAATTTCATTTAAATATGTTCAACCGTGGTGATTAAGCTGGTTAAGATCACACGCTAACATTTAACTTTAAAATTAAGTTGGTAGATTTAACATTCTGCATTTGTGAAATTTTCCTACAATCACAAAAGGTAATTTTGTCTAATTGCGTTCGTCAAGTGAGTAAGTCATCACCATTGTGGTGGTTATGCAGTCATACAATGCCGAATACAATAGATTTTCTGGTTACATAAATGTGGACAGTTTACGAGCGACATTACACAATCACACTGTTTTGTTTTAATCAACGTTGTATGGTAATAATAATTATGATTTTTCTTGACCAATTCTCTAACCACATAATCATCATCATCAGCCTATTAATGTCCCCACTACTGGGGCACAGGCCTTCCCTATGGATGGAATAGGGAGATTGCAACCTTCGTCTTACAAAAGACTACAGTGAAACAGGGCTGCCAGATCAAAAATCCAATTGAGCTCTAAAACGATATAAAAAGCGCTAGATTATGCGCTAAATTAATTTCAGTTTATGCGATAAAATTTAAACATGAATGAATGAAAACAAAACCATGCACTAATGGCAGTAATATTACTACTTATCTATCGTGTTGTGTTGTGGCGCATCACACAGTTATATCGGTTTCATACATTTAATAGTACGCTTAGAGTGAGAACGGTACACACAAGTATAGTTCTAATCGTACTAAATATATGAATCCGATACCTCTCTGACGCGTCACAACACAAGACGACAGATTAGTGTAGTTCTGCTATAAAAATAATAATAGAGGGGTTTCCCGAGGCTATAAATTATCGGTAATAGAGTGCTACAATGGCATAAATGAAAAAGCGCCAGATTATTCGCTAAACGCTAAAATTTTGAATTAGGCGCTAACCACACCAGATAAGCGCTAAAATGGCAGCACTGCAGTGGGATAACACTACCTTTTGGTGGTGTTGTGTTTCCGCTGGTGAGCAGGGTTCCAGAGCTCCGTGGGGTAGGGAACTGCACTGGGTTCAGGCCGGTAAGATGAAGATGACCCGATGTTCACACTTTCTGGCACATCATCTATCTTTGCGACTGGACTCCACTTACACCTATCATCAGGTCGAGCGCGGTAATGTGTTGCGCCTCATATGAACAAAAAAGCATGGTCTTACGAAGAATTAAAATATTTCCAAGAAATAAATAAAGAATTTATTATTATTATAAATACTGACTACTGTAGAACCTTCTTAAGATTGATCTACGTTTAAAATTTATAAACAGTTTTCATATTCTTTATTCCAGGTAAAAACTTCGCAGCAGCTTTGTATAGAGACGAAGAAACCGGCCTTAGGCTACGCGGACACGTGCGATCTCGTCTTCCAGAATGGACCGAAACCAGTGAGAAAATTCGCTCCATTTGCGAGGTTAGTGTTTTGTGAATGATGTAAAGGCGACTAAAGGATCAATTCAATTCCAATCAATATCATTTATTCAGTCTAGGCTTTTACAAGCACTTACAGAGTCGTCAAGTTTAAAAATGACTGCATAATGAAATAACTCATGAAGTCCTTCTATACAGACATAAATAACACGAAAAAATATGACCTTCTATAGTTCTTTTAACATTAATATTGATTTGGAACGAATTTCCTTTACGGGGCTAGACGAAAAAAAGTGTAAGATTTTTCCGTCACAACCGTCATTTGTTTCGTAGCGTATTGTGTATATTTGTGTTCTTATACTTAAGTTAATTTTCAACTTCGTTTCAACCGAGTGTTCCACGACACTTAATTTTGCTTTTTGTATATTTTATTTAGGGCGCATTTTTAACTAAGCAAAAGCGACGAAGAAAGGTTGTATTCCTGCGCAAGACCCTGCAAAAATATTAGTTATTGGTTTATATCTTGAATTTTTTGCAACAATTGTCTACCGATGCGATCGAAAGGTCTCTCTCATACTTATCTGTCCAATTTTACTTTATATTCGAACATGATACGCTCAGTTCATAACTTATCTTTGGTTCGATCACAGTAGAGGTTTCCTCTGCCACTTCAGCTGTCTCCTTAACTGTTGCACTTAACATCGCTCAGCCAATCAGGCTATGATTTAAGGTACAAGTTGGTAGCCGACTACACGCAGCAGCAACAGACGACGTGTCGTCGCTTCATGTCGCCATGATACGTCGTTGCGTCCTGTGGCTGCAGCCATGATGTCGAACCCGGCTGCAGACGGCAACAGCAGGTGGAATCCAGTTAGTTTTGAGTGTTTCGTGAAACAAGATACCTGACGTGTTCGAGAATAGTGATCGCAATTTTTGATACCTTTTTAATTTTTTTAAGCGTTTTTATTCCTCAGAATCGAAAAAAATCAGTTTGCAAAGAAACTCACTAGACGTGTCAATTGCTCCGGCGTCAGCGGCACTACTGCAGTGTTATTCTGCGGTTGGGCGACACTGCCGTCTGTCGCTCTACGACGCATCGCTAGCTTCATGTCGCTAACTACGTAGGGAATTTCATAAAAACCAGTAGTGTCGCTGCTACACGTCGTTTGCTGCAGCTTTATATCGTCCGCTACCAAATTGTATCTTTACATAAAGACGCGTTATAGAATCCCATGCGATTTCAGATGTAAAAAAATAATAATCGGCTAATGAAAACTTGGTTTTTCAGAGAATTGGCTGACTGGGCATTGGCGCTGACTCATTTGGGTGCTTGTTGCGTGTATGCTGTCGTAATAGCGGAATCATTTAAGCAGGTAAATATTTTGGATCAGTTTTATGTTTTTTATGTAATAAGCATTGCCCACGGTTTCGTTCGCATAAGCTTTAGTATTCAAAAAATTGGTAGGGAAATTATATTGTCCCGGAGTTTTTTTTATAAACCAACAAGAACTTAATTTTTTTTGGGATACAAAGCATCCAATGTCCTATTCCAGCTACCATACACTCTGTGTGGAAAATTTCTAATCAAAAAATAGACATTTATTCCTAAAGGACATTGCTCGTTCCCCATACATTGAATGCCCTAGAACGCCCAGCAATGAGAAAATGCTAGTTGTGTTCGGAATCATTCATAAACTCTAAATAAGCATTTGTTGAGATACGGACAACTTGAGGAACCGTGGCCTACTACAGAATGTATTAGATTTTGAGGTTATAATTATTATACTTAATCATAAAAGATGTACACTTTATATGTTCTGAATAGATTTAGTGTTTACCTCTATGTAAGCACTTAAATAATATGCATTAAATGAACATAAAATGCAATTAATAATAAAAATAATAAATGCTTATATTCATATTGATTTATGAGTGTTGTCAGTTGGCACCTATGATACCTATACCTACCTGTAGTAGGTAATAATAGATTTCTTTTCAAATGAAATGTTCAGTCTTTCCATTTACCTGTTTCTATAGTTTACTATCGGTAATTAGGTATGTACCTGGTTATCATTATGATTGTCATAAAAATAAACAGATATTACATGGGATGGGAGTATAAACTATCTTTAGATAATTTCAGAAATAATCTTTTCATAAATATAATATAAATACTAGTAATAAGTATTATTAACTAAGGTACCTAGTTCTATTTTTATGTTGATAAATACCTATGGTCGCCAATATTGCATTACTAAGGTAAACAATCTTGGCACAACTTTTTAACAGAATCACCCATTTAATAATAAAATATTAACGAAGCCAATAAACTATTAAAATAAATCGTTATTATAGACTGAAACCTATTGAATCCAGTTATCAGTTGATTTTTAATGCTGTATTTTCAATAAAAAGGAGTGCCAAGTTGGATGAACAGACTGTAGTATCTAGTAACAGAACTTTTATTTTTTAAACAGATTGTCCGTTTACTATGATTAATTGCTAATAAGTTAAAAAAATAATAGAAAAATAATAGTGAAGGACATTCTTTTGGGCATGCTAGGGCCGATTTCGTCGATGTCCTTTAGCAGAGACGCTATTAAATTTTGTCAGTTTAAACAGCGTTTAATTTTGTATGCACAAACTTGACAAAATTTAATAGCGGATAACTATAATAAAAAAATCTTTATGCTCATGTTCGTCACACAAATACCCTTCCGGGGTTTGTGCCCATCCCTATGATAATCAGGATGTTCGAGGTGCTTTTTCTCTCAACTATCGTAAAAAGACCTGGTCATCAGGTATCATAATTCCTCATCTATACGGCACCCTTTTAAGTGTCGATTGGTATATCCATTTTTATCCTTATTATCATCTATATCGCTTAAGCTATTCTTGTTAAGCTGATGATGATTTCCATAATACATTATTACTTCGTCTTTTCGCAGATTTCTGACGTATACGGCGGTCCACTATGGTCCGTGAAGATATACTGTGCCTTGACGCTAGTGATCCTGGTACCGCTGTGCCAGATCACCAAGCTTAAGTACCTGGTGCCGTTCTCAGCCATCGCCAACGTGGTTTGGCTAGTGTCAATCTGCATCAGCATATACTACTGCCTCCGAGACTCTGCCCAAATTTCTGAAAGAAACCTCGCCACTTCGGTTTCTGGAATACCTACTTTCATAAGGTAAGACAATATATAACTTAGAAGCCTAAGCTTGCACTCTTAAAGGTAACTTTGGACCAGATCACCTGTATGTACCTGGTGCTGTTCTCAGCTATCCCAAACGTGGTGTGGCTATTTTTTTTTTAGTGTGGATGCTGTTGGTCATAGATGACCTTTACAGCGTCATCGGGATTGGGGACGACTTGATCCTAAGGGGATCTCAAGCCGAGAATTGGCAAGTGCCTCTAGAGGTATTCCAACTAGATGGGGGAGTCTCCTCTCCGTCTGGAGCCTCTAGACTACTCGAACCTGAGGGGGTTGGCTCAACTAGAGGGTCTAACATGGCGTCTCTGAGACTCGGATCTCGGCTCTAGTTAGCCGTTGTCGTAGGGGGCGAGGAAAAACATCCAGGTACGTGCCTGTAATTAGTATAGCGGTCGTCTGTAGACCGGGTCTTCGCACTCTTATCCTACGAGTGTGGTGTCTGCCTAGTGCTAAGCTAGTGTGCTAGTTTACTAGATGTGTAGTGTTGGTGTTTGTGGCCTGTGTGGGAGGAGTCGGAGGCGGGTGTAGCTGGTGTACATCTGCTTTACCATATATGGTAAATGTTGTGCTGTGTGTTGTATACAACAGTCTTCGAAACTCTGTCGTGATTTCCTAGCAAACATTGACTATTTCGATTATTGGAATACCCACTTTTATAAGGTCAAATAATAATAGCTGTGTCTGCACAATAACGAGCATGATATTACATCAAAATGAATGTAATAAATATTTTTTTTTACTAACAACTACAAATATTCATGTCAATACCTGTTCTGATTTGATCCTTGCGCATCGTACCATGACAAAGGGTAATGAAGAAGTCTAGTTGTACTATCCGCTCGTCTATTTAGACAGACATGTCGAAAATAATATTACTTCTTCTATTAACAAACGTAAGGAATTCCTTTAAAAAAAGCTAATCGCATGGGGCCTTTTTTGTGGAGCTCGATGGTGCAAGTGGTTAGCGCGTTCGGCCGCGATCGTTGAAGTTAAGCAACTTTCGCAGTGGTCGGATATTGGATGGGTGACCAAAAATTTACTATCCCGAAGTCCTCCGTGCTTCGGAAGGCTCGTTAAGCCGTTGGTCCCGGCTGCATCTGCAGTCGCCAGCACCTACCAATCCGCATTGGATTCACGTTGTGGGTCATAGCCCAATCTCCTTATTCCATCCATGGAAAGGCCTGTGCCCCAGCAGTGGGGACATTAATAGGCTGATGATGCGGAGCCTTTTATTAAAGTTCTCTTTTGTATTTAGCTAAACAATAATATTTTGTTTCACCAGGTTGTTATGGCTGTCTGAGGTCATTAATAAAAAAAGGCGAAATTGAAATCGCATTCCGAATAAATAAGTGTTCACTAATACGATTGCCGGTGCAGCCAGAACCAATGCCGTCCGAAGCACAAAGGAGCCCGAAATAATAAAATTTTGGTCACCCTTCTTTACGAAAGTTGCATAACTTCTACTATCGTAGACCCGACTCGCTAACCACTTGCGCTATCGAGCTACTCAATAGTGTCGGCTCAAAACAAAGCATCATTTGTGTCAATCACAAATTAACATTAGGTTTACAGACATTTTCGCGCAATTTCTAGCAAAATTTATTCGCGACACGTGTTTTCTCACATCAATTGCGGCAAGTTTAGGTAATTATTTTTTGAGGATGACGGGAGCCGTCCTTCTAGCTTCACTTTAATAGGTGATTCTGAGAAAATTTCACATGTCTACCTAATAAGTTTCAAAGGATAGTGCCCCGTGACAGATAAAAAGTGTAATAAGAATAAGGGATCCATTTTTTTCCTTTTGGATATTAAAATGATGATAAATATTCATATCTAATATATAAAATTCTCGTGTCACGGTGTGATTTTCGTGAAATTTTATATGCATATTGAGTAGGGCTGGGAATCGGACAACATCTATTTTTCATCCCCCTTAATGTTAAGTTTAATTTGTTTTTATTTTCTTATGATACATCATACAAAAATACATACAACCCTTAATTTTCACCCTTCTACCACCAACCCCTATTTTTTTTATGGCGGTACGAAGTTCGCTGGGACAGCTGGTATGATATAAAAACATTAAGCCATTTTAATAATTCCGCAATACCTGCAAAATATTGGTTAAATTTTAATGAAAAGGATTTCACTACAAAAAGAATCATAGGTAGAACAAGCCATAGCAAATCAAGTGGCTTGTTCGGTGTAGTGGTTTTTATGCCTCTATTTTGGACATTTCGAAAGCTAATAAACATCCAAAATAGAGGCATAAAAACAACTACACCGAACAACCCACATGTTTTGCTATGACCTGTTCTACCTATAATTAGGGTTACCATATCTCAGGATTTGTCCTGAGACCTCAGGATTTTTGGACTCTTCTCAGGATTGCGGCCGGATTTTGGAAATCACAGGATTTTTGAATTTTCAATAAAATACAGCTTACGTTTTAAAGATTTCTTTAATAAAAATTTAAAATAATCATTCTTTGGTAAAAATAACTGAACAATTAAAATCAGTACATAATTATTCAAATAGGTACTCAATCAGTTTTATTATACTTAATATGTGAAGATACATTCTTAAGTAAGGTTTTTTTTTTAATTATGAAATTATAAAATGCCCCACATATTAAGCTCTTTAAATTATATTGCATTAAAAGTATTGCTCGAACGGAAGACACCATTAGTCGGTTTCTTTCATTCGACCATTGAGCCCCCATGATAGAAAAAACTCTTTCTATGTTTGTATTCTGGGCTGTAATTGCAAATACATATTGACAAATACGCATTATCTCTGGTAATCGTGAAATACATATTGTCTTCAAAATGGTTGCCCACGACGTATGAAGCATTACGTCAAAAAATGCTTCTTCTTGTTTTGTTAAAAAACTATTCAGAGCTACAATTTCATCGAATAAATTGACATCATCGATATGTACTCCTTTTCCATTCAGATAATGGATTGATACAGCAATCTGATCAAAGTCGATCATTTCGCCCTTTTTCAGCATCAACCAATTAAAGACTTTGAAATCATCTAAAGGCTTCATCCACTTGATCAGATATTCTATGAATGTCTTATACATATTTATAAGGTCTTGCTTGAAAACTTCTTGGTTTTCCGCAGTGCACTTAGCCAGCAATTCTCACACTTTTAGTGACATGAAGTTTGCGTTCGCTCGTGCAACTAAAATTTCATGTGTGGATTTGAGGATTCTTTTATTTAATATCGAGAATAGAATTGTTCTCCTTTTCGATGTCTTCAATTCTCGCCTGAAATATTGACATCAATGAGTGAGCGAAAAATAATAAACTTCGCTGAGTTCATTTTGAAAAAAGTTCTTTAAAGTTATTGGTACACCAGGAGTAGACAAAAAGTACAAGCTTCAACGGTTCATACATCTTCAGTATTCTTTCGATCGCTGGAAAGAGACTAAGCCATCGTGTCTTGCTATGAAACAAAAGTTTCTGATAATTAACGTCTTTATACTCGCTGATATCCTTCGACGCCTCCGTGCGTACGGTGTATACAGTAAAATAGTTAAACAGCTTCATTACTACAGATTCTATATCAATATGAAGATTATCAGTGCCGTGTTGAATACAATTGTGTAGAATGTGCGCTGGGCAACCAACTCCTACGATATCTTTTTCGAGTATATGTTTTAAATTAGTCCAAACATTTTGCCCCGGTTGCCGATTAACTCCGCCAAAATTAACATTAGCGTTGTCTGCTGTAAATGATACACATTTTGTCAACAAATCGTGCTTTTGCAAGCTTGTTTTAATTATCTCTGTAATAGTGTCAGCAGTTTCATCGCGTGTGCTCAGCACATCCAATAGTTTAGTTTTAATGCCTTCTCGCCAGTCAAAAAATTGTATCATTAAAGGAAATATTTTTTCTGCGCCGTGATTACTCGCATCTGTGGAAACGCCCAAGTAGTTAACATTTTGTAATGAGACTTTTACCTGTTCAATAACCCATGGAGATATCACGCCGTGTAGACGTTTCGTAGCCTTTACAGGCTACGTCATCAGAATTAAACTTTAATTTAATTTGTCGAGCTACCTTCGAAAGACTTTTATTGAGCGTTCGGTTATTTCATTGTTCGATTTTTAAAGTTTTATTGTCTATGTATGAATTTATTATTAAATTTACTTAATAAAGTATTTTATTTAAATTCTTTTTTGTAATTTTGAGTTTATTTATTTGACCCTAACTACCGTAAACTACCACCGGTTCCAAAATTGGGAGACCTTTCTGAGAAGAACCGGCGAAACAAACTCAAGAGGGGCTTTCTATCTCCTTCTTATGTTAAATTATGCAAACAAAAAGAACTAATAGTATCTGATGGTCTTGCAGTGTGTGCTCGGGGTTGGGATTTTATCTCCTATATAATAGATTCCCAAGCTGGTGGTATATACCAACCATCTTCCCTATTGAAATTTGGATATTTTTTAATCTCAATAGCCTCGCGTATCATTCGAGGAACGAACCGCCGCTCAGCTGCAAGGATCTGTGGTTTATCAAATCTAATGTAATGGTTTGGTCCCCCTAATGCATGTTCACACACTGCAGACTTATTTTCGCGCCTATGTTTCATATCGAAACGTCAAGAAATAAATAAAGTTTCGTGCATTAACCCGTAAAAACTAGTTTTATTTAATGAGTGATGTGCGTGAAAACCTAAGAAACAAATATGAAAAAAAAATGTTACATATTGAACAAAATACTTTGCTAGGTTCTCTACCTTCTTTCATAATTGGATATTTTTCTTTCAAAACATCTGTAAATGTACAGCTGTACCGTGGTCGCTTGGTACTTGAAGACATTTTCAACTCGTATCCGATTCCGATTCTCGCTCGTGATATTTAAAATAGCGCAGTCCAAACTTCGCAATGGCGCAAGGCGAACTGAATGAGTGAGTGCGTGGCGAGGGACGGTACGTGAGAGGGGGGGGGGGGTACTGGTGTCACCCCGTCCACCCGCGCGCTTCGAGTACGATTTGCAACGCATGAGCGATGTCCGCAGTGTATATAAACGATAATATTACGACTTTTAAAATTGTTGAATACGTTTGAGAGAAAATTCTCGAACTGTAAGAAATCTCAGGATTTTTCAATGGAAATCATGCCTTTTCTCCGGACTTTTGATTTTTTCATCTGGTAACCCTACCTATAATGATTTTTTCTGTAGTGAAATCCTATACCCAGTCTGTATTGTTCCTGATATCCGCCCAAGCATACTTTGATTAACAGTCTAATGTTGATGTTTTTCACAGCACATGCCTCTTCGCCATGGAGGGTATTGGCGTGGTGATGCCCATAGAGAACGAGATGTCAAAGCCGCAGCATTTCCTGGGTTGTCCCGGTGTCCTCAACATCGCCATGTCCGCAGTGGTCGTGCTCTACGGCTTCGTCGGCTTCACTGGCTACCTCAGCTTCGGTGAAAGCGTCAGAGGGAGTCTGACCTTGAATCTACCTCAGGATGAAGTGTTAGTAAACCTTTACACTAAATCTTCTTAAGCTATAACATTCAAAATTGTTTCTACATATATCCATTAAGGGAAACTGTGGTGATGACATCTTCACTTCCCACATATAACCAACATGAAGGAACTACTCGCACTGCACTCAAAAAGTTCGGAAGCCTAGGTACTTACATCGCGCAATAGAATTTTGGAAGCTATATTATATTCAATGTCCGAACAAAATTAGTCAGACCACGGCCCCCCGAGCTACAATCTCCCAGCTCGATGGAAGATCCAGAAAAGCCAAAGAGCCACTTTGGCTTTTCTACAAAACCATCCAACTAATGAGCCCCCAACAAGTTTCGTGTGAAAGCAATAATACAAAGATAGTTTAGTTAGACCACTTAAAATCAGTAGGTACGTTGGGTCCGTTCCGGTCCACAAAGTCAATTTGAAACCTTCCCAAATGGTGGCGTTAAAAATAAAAAATCCAAAAGTGCACGCCTCACATTTACGAAACAGAAACCCATTAAATAAATTCCATTGACTTCCATCAATATCTTTAAAACGGTTATCAGTTCAATCATGATAAGAAATAGAGTTCATCCTCAGTGTAAGTGGAAATTAATTCAAAAGGATTTATTACAATTAATTGCGTATATATTTCTAAAAACGTGCAGACAAACAAGTGCACAGACCAACGGACAGCAGTACTAATAATTGTTTAACTGCATTTTTTTGTTATATATACTAAAAAAATAAATGAAAAAATACGCTGTCTTTATAGTTTAATATGTCTAGTTTTTAAAACAGCCTTGTTTATTGATTTAGTGACTAACTTGGGAGATAAGAGTGATCTTATATTGAAAATCGTCACATAGCGGTCTATCAAGAGTAAAGCACTCCCACACGCTTACGCGATGTAAGGCTTGCAAAAAAAATAAAACTTCATTTCGTAAATGTGTTTATTTTGTGTACTAACAAACGCTGTTTGCGCGCTTGTTTCCGATTAAAATCAAACACCGTATATATCAAATATCGTTTCTGGATTGGAAGCAAGAGAGCATAGCTGATTTTCTGCTCGAATTGGAGCGCCCGTCTGGGGAAGTTATCTCCACCTTACAGAAAAATACAGTAAAATAACACTACCTTTAGGTGCTGTTGTATTTCAGTAGGTGAGTAAGGTTCCAGGGCACCACGGGGAAGGATGTTGGGTCAGGGAAGCAAAGGTAGGAATGATATTTTTTGTATCCCAAGAGTCTTTCTCTATATTATTATGCTATGGTGGCCGCTTACTATCAGGCGGGTCATATGCTGTACCCTTTTAACATTAAAAAAATAGCGCGGTTGATGAGAGATGAGAATGAGATCAATGTCTATGCTTAGAACAAATACTATTTAGCAATAGACGAAGGGATACTGGATGTTAATCGAATGCTTTGTTTTGTTTTTATTCCGTGAATAAAACATGAGAGTATTTATATCGAGGCCGGATGCCCAGATTATTGACTTATCCAGAATGCGTATGGCGTAAAAGCGTAAAAAAATCAAAACACGATTAAATATTTGGAGCAAATTATTAAAGAAACGTTGCGAAGTCTTCAATGTTACCAATAATTACACCATACGGGTTCATTCGCTTCATTAGCTTTTTCGATATTGATAAATTGTTAGGAGTTTAACTTCAGACAACCCAGAAGGTTAATTACAAGTTAGTAAGCGATTTTCGTGAGGGCCTTCGACTAATTTTTATCAATTCCCCAAATTATTGGCGACATATCGGTAAGTGGATACTAAAGAATGTCCTTTGAAGAACCCTTAGCTTGAAATTTCGTTAATCTTGAATTAGGAAATCAAAGAAACTCAATTCAGTACAATTAGATCACACGTAACGGTAAATCCTCAAATTAACCCCAACCTATTATAGGTTGGGGTAAATTTCTTTTCACATTAAAGTATGTATGAACTTGTAAAAAAAGCTCTGTATCTGGCTGGTTTTGGTATCATTAAATTTTTAAAATTTGAAAGAAGATAATTCCAAATTCTTTCTAAGAAAAGAAACTGATTTTTATTTGTTTTTCTTACTGTCAAGGTGAATGAATTTAATAAAGATATATTTTAAAATTTTACTACAAACATGGTAAAAATTCAACGCAAGCCGCGAAAAAATATTTGATGTTTATGGATCTAGTGCAGTGTCTGTGAGAGTAGCACAAATTTGGTTTAAGCGTTTTCAATCCGGAAATTTTGATATCAAAGATGCACGTCGCTCTGGTCGCCCTGTTACGGATAAAATGGATGTCATTATTTTCGGAACGTTTTGATTGTCAGTACATGAACCATTGTTATATGATACATGTACTGACTAACAAAGTTTAGTTATTACTGTAGATTTTTGCATTTAATTGTTTGATTATTATTGTACAGGGTTGTTCAACAAGAACTTTGTTTTGCAATTGTGGCTAAACCAACAATATGATAGTTTTGCCATTTAGTTTTTTGACGTATTCGTAGTAGATGCATTGGCAATTGTTACAATGAATTCAATTTCGCTTGAAAATCGAATTAAAATAATTAAAATCCACTATGAAAATAGTGGTTCTGTTACAGTTACATTTTGTTAAATTCGTGATATTTTCGGACAACATCATCGTCCTTCTGAGACCGCTATTAAGAAATTGGTCATTAAATTTGAGTCGATACAAAATGCCATTTCCAACACGTGTTCGACCGGGTCGTTCAATTGAAAGCATCGCAGTCGTGAGTCACAGTGTTGAAGCAGATCCAAATTTGTCAATTCCGCGACGTTCTCAACAATTGTAGTTATCCAAAACCACCACATGGCGAATTTTGGCCCATTATTGATGACGTGGATATCACTGATATGTGGTTTCAACAGGACGGTGCCACACGTCACACAGCCAATGAAACGATCAATTTATTGCAAACCAAATTTCGCGATCGCATAATTTCACTAAACTCAGCTGTTAAGTGGCCAGCCAGATCGTGTGATTTAACACCACTAGATTATTTTTTGTGGGGTTATGTTAAGGACAGAGCCTAAACGGGGCCAATAGAATAGACTGCAGCCTCAAAACTCAAAATCCGTGGTGTAAATAACGAAAAAGTCCCGCCATTTTGCCAAACAGTGATTAAAAACTTTAATGAAAGAATCGTCATCTGTCAGCGTGCTCGTGGTGGACATTTGCCAGATGCCGAACTTTTCTCTTTATAATTTAATAAAAAATTTAATCATCGTCATCTAAATTTTTTCTTTTATTTTGTTTTAGAAAACAAAGTTCTTGTTGAAAAACCCTATATTATAATGTAATTAATTAGTGTCCATTCGAATTATTTTGATTATTTTTATATTATATTATTAGTATGATTAGTATAATATTTATGTGATTGAATATTTAATTATGATCCTTGTTTGGTCGAAATAAATAAATTGAAATTGAAATTAAATAATTCAGAAAGTGGAGCAAGATTGGCATATCTACTACATACGACGTAGCTGAAGAACTGGGAATTGACCACAAAAGAGTTTTGGCGCATTTGATAGAATCTGGGTCCACGAAAAGCTCGATATTTAGATGCCTCACAAGCTCACTGAAAGAAACCTAATGAACCGTGTATTCATTTTTGATTATTTATTCGGGCGTAATGAAATCGAAGCATTTTTGAAGAAGGTGACAACTGACCACGACCTTTTTCACACGTTTTTGTCGTAAGTGATCCACTTTTCATCACCAAAGGCTGGTCAGGTTTCACGGACTCTGGCGAAACCCGGCAAAACTCGCAACAATGTGATGCTGTGTGTATGATGGGATTGGAAGGGCATTATTCATTATGTGCTGTTACCGCCAGACAGGACCATCGATTCTGAACTGCACTGCGAACATATAATGCGATTAGAGCAATGATATGAGAGATAGCGGCTGGAATTACTTAGTAAGGGGTGTAGTTTTTCATCATGATAACGCTAGACCTGGCACATCTTAAGCCACTCATCAAAAATAAGGAGCGTTTGAATGGGAGGTGTTAATAATACATCCGCCGTATTGTCTTCACCTTGCACATCCAGATTTTCACCTGTTTCGGTCTCTTCAAAATTCTTAAGGCAGTGTCAGGTTACCATCACAAGAGGAATGCCAAAACCTCTAATCGTGATTTTTTGATCACAAGCCCAAAAATTTCTATAGCAATGAGATCATGTCCCTACCTAAAAAATGGCAAGTTATGAAACAAAATCGCACAGCCTATATACTTGAGTTAAATGTACATTGACTTTATTAAAAATGATTTGAATTTTCATATAAAATGTGAAGAAAATTTTTCCCCAACCTAATATACATAATATATAGGTATTGTGGTCAATTATTTATTTTGGAGACATAGTTTTATATTACAGATACTATAGAAAGAATTATTTTCCCTATGGTATGCGCAAAGGGGCGAAGCGTAGCATATGATGCTTTTTATCTTATGTTCATACTTCGGTTATGCTATTCCGGAATTTAAAAACATGATTACTTTAAAAGTTACCTGATCAAGTACAGAATCATTGAATTACACTAAAACTAAATTAGTCTCTTAAAATATAATAATTGTTAGGTTACCTTTAAAAGACACCTAATCTAGTAGATCATAGATTCAAAAGATTACACTTAAAATAAATTTGGCTCTTGTAATAGAGACTATTACAACAGCTATTACTTTACGTTTTATATCAGATATGAACATGAATTTCCATTGTTGACATGTAATATCCAATTTACCGAAATGACAGACAACAACTATTATTTGTCGATATTATCAGTATTGTATGTATTATTCAGTAATACAATAAGGCGATTAATAAAAATAACACTCGAGCAAAGGCAATCAATATTAGCTGTTAGCTATTATACCATTGGCCTTTCAAACGATTATAACAATGAACACTGAATTAATAACTTTGATCGCTTTAAATATTACACTTAATTAATAAAAGAAACCACTTAGCTAAGTAAAAAAATTACTTTTACACAGCAAACTTTGCAAAATACTATTTCTAATGTTTCCTTTAAAAGTTGGTGAGGCCCGCCTGATGACTATATTTGTCGATACACATTGTGATGCCAGAGTATCACACACTCATTTGCTATCCTGATTTCATCTCCCACCCCGTGGAGCTCTGGAATCCGCTAACTAAGTTTATCCGTTTGCTTTGCGTTATATTTTACGGACTTTATAAATGGGCACAGACACGTCAAATTACTAATAATCTTTGGATAGATAATAGACTGCTTAATTTTATCAAATTTTGTAAGTACATGAATTAGCTGTCCAGCTGTCATGGATGTATTACATGTATATAAGTATTTTTAAACGTCATCTATCCATAGTATATGCTATGTTCAGTTAAGGGCTAGATGATTTTTAGGAGGAGATAATGAGGAGCTCGATGGCGCAAGTGGTGAACGCGGTCCGCTGTGATCGTTAAAGTTAAGCAACTTTCGCAGTGATTGGTCATAGGATATGTGACCAAATATGTACTATCTCGAGCTTCTCTGTGATTAGGAAGGCACTTTAAGTCGTTGGTCCCGGTTGCATCTGCAATCGTCACCCCTCCAATTCGCACTGGACCCGCGTGGTGGGTCATGGCCCAATCCCTGTGCCACAGCAATAGGAACATTAATAGGCTGATGATGATGATCGTTAGGAAAGTGTTCAAATTTTTTTTTCAGTATTCCCATACACCTAATTAATCATAGTCATAATTTTCAATTTTAGGTATGCAAGTGCTCGATGTTAAAATCCAAAGAAAATATTACTAGAAAAAATTCTACGCGGACCAGGCAGAGACCAGGACTCGAACCTGCACCTTTCGCTATTCGGGCGAATGCACGTGCCATTATGCTACCGCGGCCTTGATGGCCGTGTCGACGACACGGCAGCGCCATTTCTTCGCATTATAGGTAACCTACAATGTCAAATGACTAACTAATTAATCATGTTTTTGCCCACAGCCTAGCACAGACCGCAAAGGTCCTCGTGGCGAGCGTGATGATCCTGTCGTACGCGTTGGTTTATTACGTCCCCGTGGACGTGGTCTGGCGCAGGGTCCAGGACAAGATACCCGCGAGGCACCACCGGTGGAGTATGGCCCTGCTGAGGCTTGGAGGCGTGCTGTTGACAGGTATTTTCAATAAGTATTTTTTTTTAAATATAAGAAAATTGCGCAGAATAATATCGTTAAATTTTGTAGGCTCCAATATATTTTAGCTTATTCTCTTTCTTAATACTAGAAGAAGCCGGAAGGTTTCAGAGTTATATGTCAGACTCTTACCAACTAAAACTCACCTAAGAAGGGTATGATGCAGAAGATGCCTTACTTAATACCAAGGCCTAAGTCACTCAGTTAGTGGCGAATCTTAATGAACAGAAGTGACTTTTGAAAATGCCATTTAAAAGATTTATTAAATCGCATTTTCAAAAGTCACTTCTGATCATTAAGAATCTCCACTAACTGATCTATACAAACATTGTGGAAACATTTTAATTTTTGTACGTTTTTAACGAATTAACTAAAAAACTACTGGACTACAATATACCAAAGACGAGCCAAAGACTATGTTTCTCGCTTAATCGGCAATCTAGTTTCAGATTCTGTAACTTAAGTGAATACTTTTTCACGGCATTATTCAAATACCTTGTAGTGTTTCACTCTCAAATTTACATCTGATATTTAATATTGCAAAAAGGAAAAACATAAACAAGTATAGTTTATAGCTTTCGTGTAGATATAATTAAAATAAATTGTGTTCAAATCTCTCACATTTTGATACTGAGAATAAAATTATTATAACAGGAAATTAATTTGGGATCATCTGATTTATTAAAACACCATTGGCGCTTGAGAATTCTGATTGAGATTCTTTGTTCGAGGGGAAATTAATAAATTCTTTTTGTATTTACGGAGATTTGTTTAAGCAAAGCAAATTTCAACATTATTAATTATGAGCTCAACTGATGAGAAGTATTTCATGCGTAATTGGCGCTGCAGTTGGGTTTTTCATAATTATTTTCATCTACGTACCTACTCGTGAAAAAGAATAATAATAAAATCGTTTATTTTCTCATCACAAACAGCTAATTATCTTAATGTCCTCCAATGAGATATTTCCTTAGCGAAATATCCGATCCCCTAACAACTTTCGTAACATTAATTGAACTCTTCATATTAACATGCAGTACTGTAAAATATATAGATAGTATTTATACCTATATAGAGAGGATAAATTAATGTCAATGCGACTAATGTAAAAATTTGCATGACCTATCACTAGAACCCTTAATTAACTTACATACTTATTAAAACATGTAGACCATGAAAAAATTAGGTATTAAACATGAATATATGAAGAAAACGTCGTACAAAATTTGCCGAAACATGGTTTAAAACAACCCAGCACGATTACTTAGTGTAATTCCTATGTAATCTATAATGTATTGAAGTTTTTTAGTTCAAGGTAAGCCCTAATATGTTATGAGTGGCAAGTGAAGCCCTTTAAGAATATTTCTGTTAATATTTTATCCTTTATTTGTTCTTTTGAGATTACTAAGTAATTTCTTAATCGCTGAAAAGTTCTCGCTTCTGTTGGTAACCGTTTTTGAACAATTAATCAGAAAATACATTCGACATTTTTTTATAAAATAATATTTTTTCATATATGCCGTGGAAACGTTTCTCTAGCAAATATGGCATCTTACAGGCAGATGACGTCACACTCTCATGAAAACTTCAAACCGTACAAAGTAATGTCACTTCGACAGCATGTTTACAAGCAGATGACGTCATTTTAGGCTCTGCCAATACTAGGAGTTTTCGTTCACATGACGATAGATCAAAAAATACTTTCGTGTTTTAAGTTTAATATTATAACTACTTTTTATCTAAAATGTTGAAAAACTTGCAATATTTATGTTAAATGCACATTTGCACATGCCATAAATTGGTAATTTATTTTACATACTGTCTAATATTTGTCTGTCGTATTATCATAAACACAGTGGAAAGGCAAAATCGGTTATACGCCACTTTGGTCGAAAATAAGTTATATAAATATTATTTGAATCAGATTTTTTTCTGCGTCGTTTTGTTTATAATTCGTCAGTACTTTTTTGGCGCTTGTGCAACTCAATTTTTGATGATTTTTAAAGAAACACAACGATGAAGACATAAGCTTTTGTGTTTTTTGAACCAATGGCGCTTACGCCCTACAATTTTCGTATGATTTGATGTTTGCTCGACAAAAAATGTATGGCAGACTGAGTGATTTTCGTTTAAACGACATTTCATTAGTAAAGTAAAGGCACTATGTAACTTGCTAAAAGTAGGATATTTAGAAAATATTATTGTATGAATATGTTTTTATTTTTATGGCGCCACTTCTCATTTGCAATTAGTTATGATTTTTTGTGAAAAAAATTGATCCACGTTTCTGTAAAGTTACTAAAGTGGCGTTTAAGCTATTATGCTTTTCTACAGTCGATATTAACACAAGCCTTACAGTGCTTAATGGGGCTTGGCTAATTGGAGTAAATCGATTTAGTAGTTCCAGAGATTACTTCCCTCAAACAAACTTTAAGAGCATATATGTTTATTTCATAGCTCTTTTCTTTGTTCTCAGTGGGTATCGCGACAGCTGTACCACGTCTAGAACTCTTCATGGAGTTGGTAGGCGCTGTGTGCCTCTCCATCATGGGGCTGCTTCTGCCGGCCGTTACCGAGACCGTGTGGAGGTGGGGCAAGGACCTGGGCCGCTTTCACTGGATCCTCATAAAGAACGTGCTTATCTCACTGTTCTCCATCATAGCCATGGTGTCCGGAGTAGCGTACGCCATCATATCCATGCTGGAAAATCTGTGATCACAAAGCTCCCATCGTGGGGCTGTTTCCAGCAGTCTCGGTCCAGACGCTCTCATGTCTGGAGGTGGGGCAAGGACCTGGGCCGCTTCCACTGGGTCCTATAAAGAACATGCTCATCTCACTGTTCTCCATCATAGCCATGGTGTCCGGAGTAGAATATGCCGTCATATCCATGTTGGAAAATCTGTGATCGTCAAGCTACTGTACTTGATACTATGTATATATTTATGACTGCACTCAGAGGAGTCAATGGGGCCGATTCTGACTGAAACTAAATAAATTTTCATTTTCTGTAGAGCATATAAAGGATATACGAGGAGCTGGCGAACAAAACGGTATAACTACGCATCTGGTCAAACTACTTCTTTTACAATCCGGAGGTTCCGGGCCCGTTGAATTTGAATCTCAAATAATTTTCAATCAAAACCGCCTTAAACAGTGTTAAAATTACTAATTTACAAACCATGCAAAAAGCTCACTGTAGGTATGTCATTCAGTTTTACATAGGTCCTGTTAAATTGAATTTTATATAATTATACCGTTTTGTTCGCCAGCTCCTCAATGTTTGACTTTTTTCAAAATTAGATAAGTGTAGAGAATTATGCCAGAATCAGGCCTAATTATTTTTAGGTTTACCTAAGTTGGTGCTGTCACATTCTTATCGATAATAATAGATTGAAACTACAAGTGACTTTATGAAGGATTAAATTGATTTAATGTTTCTAAGTACGGTTGTTACAATACAAAATGACTGTAGTTGAAACTTCGCCACTTCACAATATTGGGTAATAAGTATTTTTAAGTATAATTTACGACCTCGTGGTTGAGATGCTCGCGCACCGGTTTTCATACCCAGTTGAATAAATAAATAAAAAACTTTATGTTAATGACCGTATTGTAAATACGTATTTTTCGTTTAGGTATTTTTTAAAGGCTTAGGATTTTGTGATCCAGCTAATAATATACTCTGGAAAAAGTAAAACTAAAGTATTATCACTAAGATATTATCTTTTATTTTTTTTTGCATTTACAACATTACCTACTCGTTTCACTTTATACCATGATTGTGGCCGTGAAGCTGGTAGGCTATGTCTTTGTCACCTTTCTGAATATTAAATAAAAAAAAAACAAAAGAATTGTAAATAACTGGACAGCTGAAACTAAGTATGATTATGTTATATGAGGCTTCAACTGCACCGCCATTTTAAAGAAGCCTAAATGATAACGTACAATGTATTATATTATAAATTAGATTTTTTTACTAAAATGTGGACCACTATGATCTATATGTGTCACTATTATTTACATAGAAATATTTAAATTACAAAAGTTTAAAACTACTTAATGTCTAACAACTTAAAATAAGAATTATCTTAAAACTTACCTACTTATTTTTTTTTTACTAATGTGATGTAATTTTACTTAAAGCAGGGCAAGTTCTTAGTTTTAGACTGTATATAACAAAATATTAGTTATTGAAATTGACCTTTCTGTGATGTAAAACTATTTTAATCAAATTCAATATTGTTAGTAATATGGTGTTTTATTATGACCAATTAATAATACAATTCCCTTCAAAAAGTTTATCACCCACTGAACCCAGTTGTGAATTTTAACATGATTTAAATCAATATTAATGATTTTACGATTTGCACAGAAAAAAAACTCGAAAATAAGTGAAATATATTTATACCTAAATCATTGCTTCACGTATTAATTTTTAAAATTTTTCTCGTAGAATAAGTATTTTAATTGATAATCTGATTGAAATCGAAATGTGGCTAAGACTGCAATTTCCCATATTTAGGGAAAAGCGAATTTTTAAAGTGCTGTATTTCAAAATCTATCAGACCTACAGGGTTGAAGTGGTGTTCATATTGTAGAGAATTTTAAAATTTACATATCACTTTAAATATAGGATGTTCCTTTTAAAAGTCATGAACGGAAAACCGAAAAAAGACCGAAAATTTCGAGGTTTTTGGGCACCACGCAGGCAGCACAGGTCTTCCGAAGCTGCAAATTTGTTTTTACACTATCGGTAACTATCCCAACAACATACCAAAAAATCGCAAAGTGCAATTTATTATAATCTACGATGTCTTATACGACTGGACTATTACTTTTATGTGACTATTATACATCTTTACATGCCAGTCCCATCGTGCCTGCCATAAGAAATTAAAACTGAAAATGAATACTGATTCATCACGTGAGTAGCGGGTAATTTTGTCCCGCTTTCAAGGTTCTCTGTCGGCATAGTTCTTGTACGTTTCACAAGTTCACCCACCATCTACTTTATTATAAGGTATTAGAGTTGTATATTATCACGTCCAAGCGCTTTAATGCATCATGTATGATTATGTATTTGGATGGGCGCTGGACCGTGCTACAATCATTGATGGTATCCACAATTCAATTATGGTACAGAGGTCACTACCAACACGTGACGACCAGGTAATGGCGGGGAAACAATCATATAACACAAAAATGTAGGAAGTTTAGATTTAGAACTCGATATATAGATTATAGCTAATAACTGGATTGTTACCATCTACCTTGTTTTTAATGAGTCCGATATTTCGGCACTGTTGCAAGCGCCATGATCACGGAGTATTTGTAACAGTGCCGAAATATCGGAGACTCATAAAAAACAAGGTACCTACATGGTACAGACAAGAAAGGTAAATCAATGTACATTTTCTGTATCAAATTGGAACGCCTCTCTGAAGAAGTAACCTCCGGATCAAAGAAGGAAGGAAGCTTATTAAAATTGTTCTCTTAGTGGAAAATCTTATTGTCAGATAGGTTGTTAAATGGGTACCTAAAAAATACGGAATAGTTATTATTACAAAAAACTTGGTTATATTGTATCGGGATATTGATACTCGTAATTAGGTATTATATTTTATTTCCTTTTAGGTTTCTATACCCAAAGTAATGGTTTCAACAACCGTATTAATACTAAGGTTCCACTGTCTGTCTGTCATCGATTTAAGTATACATTTGCAATTTTTATAGATTGTGTAAACATATATGTTGCCGCTATAACGACAAAGTAAATAACTGATTGTTAAAGTAGAGGAAAAGCGGCGAATACTTATACATTCACATCATTTTATTATTTGATGTTATAATGGAACAATTTCAAAATAACGGAAATTCACAATCTGTACGAATTACAATCCTTATTCGGTTCACAAAATACAGATACAGCACGCTGTATTAAATTTCCGATTCAACGGTGTAGAAAAAATGAATAAACGTCCACCGTTGTACCTACATGAATACATTTTTCACGAAAGCCATTAACTTTAATCTGAATGGAAGCCCTAATTAAGTTCATTTCTCATCGCATAACAATACTGGAAGAAGTCCATTTATAAAGTTACAGAATTGGGGATTTTCATTTTTAATGTTGTAATCTACATAAAACGTTCACTTATTTTTAAGTGCCGATTTTGCTATAGTTTACATCAGAAAAATAGCTACTAACTTTAGAAAATGGGCACGGCAGATCAATATTCAAAATACTTACAATTTGGACTCGATCAAAAGTCATGGCCATTTGTTGGAATAGTTTTTTGCTGCTCTAGACGTTCGGCCCTACATGGTTCAGGTATGGTGGTACTCCACAAGATGCCAGGTTGCCCCCATATGTTATTCTTCCGCGCTTAAGTAAATCCAAGGTATCAACCTCATAGGCGCATTTTTATCGGTCGATAATACCGGGTGCGTTATTGCGATACTGCGCCCTTTTTTTTATTACGCAGGTAAAAAATGCTATTTACAGACGACGGCGCCTTTAAGAGGCACACCGCCGAACGGACCTCACACCTGGCTTCCGCAAGTCTTACGGGCGCCCCAGTGGCTGTCCACCGAGGACCCCGCAACTCTTACAGGCGCTTTACGGCATAATATCCGCTAAAAAAGTCCTGCGAATACCCTCTAAGCTGCTTAGCGCGAAGCCGCGGGATCCCCGTTTAGGGATTCCTCTGCGTCTCCGCACCTAGCAGCCTCCCGGCCTAGCCGGGGCTCCACGGCAGGGGTCTCCCGGGGTATCACGGGGACCCCGCAGACGTGCGCAGGTAGGCCCGCGCGTGGGGGTTGAGTACGCGGCCTAATGCCCACCGTACCGCCCCCCGTCCGCTGCGGAGGGCTACTTGGGCGTGCCCGTGTAGCTCCCTCCGCCGCCGTAGCTCCCTCCGCCGCCCCCCACTTTGCAGGACAGAACTACAAGGGGGGGCTGCTGTCACGAGGTCCGTCGGTGGCCGGCACAGCCAACGCCATGCCGGTCAGCGAGGGACCCCCCGGGTAGGGTCATGGGACGGGCGCAGCCAGGGTGCGTCGCCGTCCTCTCCTACCCGTCCTCCTTCAGCGGGAAGGAGCGGCCAGAGGATCATCCTCCCGCTCCCTCTCGGCCGCCTCCCATGCCCTGTCACTGCGGAGCATGGCCTCCACCATGCTCCGCAGCGAGAGAGCTCCGCATCCCAGCGCCGCAATCAGCTCACGGTGCTGGTGTCGCCAGGCCGGGCACTCCAATAAGGTGTGCTCGGCCGTGTCGTCCGGGGCGCCGCAATGATGACATTGCGGCGTCTCCTCCCGACGTGCGACATGGTGCAGATAGTGACCGAAGCATCCATGCCCGATCAAGATCTGCACCATGCGGAACGTGAGGCCGCCGCGCCGGCGACCCAACCATTCCTCCAACACCGGACGAATGGCTTCAATCGTCCGGTGGCCGGCGCTAGCATGGGCGAGTGCCTCATCCCATCGCCGCAAAGCTTCGCTCTGGGCGATGGAACGGACCTGCCTCAGCTCTGCTGGGGTAAGTCTTTCACCCCGCTCCCTGGCCTCGACCCGACCTCGATGCATTTCTGCCATAACCAGCGCATCGAGGTCCCACGGCGTCGCGCCTGCGAGCACGCAGGCGGCGCCGTGGCTGACCGTGCGGTACGCTCGCACGGCCCGGGTCGCGATGACCCTCTGCGGACGTCGCAAGAGGGCCCTCGTGCGGGGTTTGAGGCACTCAGCCCAAACCGGAGCTCCGTAAAGTGCCATCAACCGTATCACCCCGTGATACAGTCGACGGCACGCAGTACCTGGTCCCGCCACGTTCGGGAGGACCCTGCCGAGTGCGGCTGCAGCGGCACACAGCCGTGGAGTGAGGAGCTTAAAATGCTCCTCGAAACTCCATCGGGGATCTAGTACCAGGCCGAGGTACTTCATGCTTCCCTCGACCGGTAGTCGGACCCCCTCCACCCGGATATGGAGCCCCGGAGGGGTACTGCTACGTGGGCCATGAAACATCATGGCCCTCGATTTGTCGAGGGCCACTTCCAGGCCC